TGGTTGGAAAGGCACTGGTTCCAGCTTAATTTAGTGTGATGTGTGAGGTGACAGTTGTCATAACTCAATTCAGACTATTCTGTATTGCCAAGTCCTTTATCAGCTGCTGATGGTTGTGGCCAAATGTACAAATGAAGCAGTTAGATTATTATGTGATGGAAGTACTTTTGTTTTATAGGACATTCATTAATCCTCCTCTGTCTCTGCCTCCCTCCCTCCTTCCAGCAATAGGAAAAGCACTGAGAGGATGCTCACCTATTTCAAGACCCAAAATGCAAGGAATTGATACAAATGGTAAGTATGTAGGTCTTAATGTCATGTTACATAAAGGTTTTTAATGGCTAATTGTAACAAGATTATTAAGTGTGGGTGTAGATATTGGATCTGTTGAAAAATATATTTGGAACAAATGAGACTAGGTATTTTCACTTGTAGAATTTCATTTACTGTCACTGATTTTTCAGACATTGTATTTTTGGTTGCATTTATGGATTTTCCCTTTTTAAACAGATGACCATATGCTGCTAGAAAATGCAGAATGATTATTCTAGCTTGAAGTGCAAGGTATGTATTATGAATGAAGTATCATGTTATAGTAATTTGAGCTATGATGAGTAAAATGTTGTAAAGGCAGTGCCATGTAGTGATAAAGTGACAAGGCAGCACAAGCTCACACTAGGGGTCAGAGTGAGGCTGATGCCACATTTGCCCCTGGGAAGGTCTGAGAGAAGGGACATGAGAAGGTCTAGCAGGTCAACCTCTGAGAAGAGGGGCAGAACACCAGACATCCTTTTGGATCCTTGTTGTTTACAGTGTCAAGGACACCTATATATTATGTGAGTAATGTGTAGGTGGAGATGCGTGAACATCATTGGTTGGAAAGCACTGTGTCCAGCTTAATTTAGTGTGATGTGTGAGGTGACAGTTGTCATAACTCAATTCAGACTATTCTGTATTGCCAAGTCCTTTATCAGCTGCTGATGGTTGTTGGCCAAATGTACAATGATTATGAGAGCTGAGCAGTTAGATTTTTAAAGTTTTGGAAGTACTTGTGATTTATAGAACATTTATTAATCTCATGTTATTTTCAGCAATAAGAAAAACACGTGAGAGATGCTCAAGTTCTATTTCAAGATTGGAAATGCAAGGAAGAAAAGAAATAGAATCATGGTAAGCATGCAGTTCTTATTATTGTGTATATAAAGGTTTGAATTGGGAATATTTTGTAATATGATTATTAACTATTGGTGCAAATGTTAGATCCACTGAAAAATGTACTTGAAATAAATGATGGGACTCGAATTTCACAGTTGCTGTTCCACTGGTTTACCATCATTGACTTTTGAGGTTTTTGTTAAGCCTGCATTGATAGACTTTGCATTTTAAACAGATTCACCATAGCATGGTGATGGAAGATCCAGAATGAGTTTTTCAGTTTTAAGTGCAAGGTATGTATTATGAATGAAGTATCATGGTATTATATTAGTTGAGCTATGATGAGTAAAATGTTGTAAAGGCAGTTCCATGTGTAGTGATAAAGTGACAAGGCAGCACAAGCTCACACTAGGGGTCAGAGTGAGGCTGATGCCACATTTGCCCCTGGGAAGGTCTGAGAGAAGGGACATGAGAAGGTCTAGCAGGTCAACCTCTGAGAAGAGGGGCAGAACACCAGACATCCTTTTGGACCCTTGTTTACTGTGTCAAGGACACCTATTTATTATGTGAGTAATGTGTAGGTGGAGGTGCGTGAACATCATTGGTTGGAAATGCACTGTGTCCAGCTTAATTTAGTGTGATGTGTGAGGTGACAGTTGTCATAACTCAATTCAGACTATTCTGTATTGCCAAGTCCTTTATCAGCTGCTGATGGTTGTGGGCCAAATGTACAATGATTATGAGAGCTGAGCAGTTAGATTTTTAAAGTTTTGGAAGTACTTGTGATTTATAGAACATTTATTAATCTCATGTTATTTCAGCAATAAGAAAAACAGTGAGAGATGCTCAAGTTCTATTTCAAGATTGAAAATGCAAGGAAGAAAAGAAATAGAATCATGGTAAGCATGCAGTTCTTATTATTGTGTATATAAAGGTTTGAATTGGGAATATTTTGTAATATGATTATTAACTATTGGTGCAAATGTTAGATCCACTTAAAAATGTACTTGAAATAAATGATGGGACTCGAATTTCACAGTTGCTGTTCCACTGGTTTACCATCATTGACTTTTGAGGTTTTTGTTAAGCCTGCATTGATAGACTTTGCATTTTAAACAGATTCACCATAGCATGGTGATGGAAGATCCAGAATGAGTTTTTCAGTTTTAAGTGCAAGGTATGTATTATGAATGAAGTATCATGGTATTATATTAGTTGAGCTATGATGAGTAAAATGTTGTAAAGGCAGTTCCATGTGTAGTGATAAAGTGACAAGGCAGCACAAGCTCACACTAGGGGTCAGAGTGAGGCTGATGCCATTTGCCCCTGGGAAGGTCTGAGAGAAGGGACATGAGAAGGTCTAGCAGGTCAACCTCTGAGAAGAGGGCAGAACACCAGACACCCTTTGGATCCTTGTGTTTACTGTGTCAAGGACACCTATTTATTATGTGAGTAATGTGTAGGTGGAGGTGCGTGAACATCATTGGTTGGAAAGGCACTGTGTCCAGCTTAATTTAGTGTGATGTGTGAGGTGACAGTTGTCATAACTCAATTCAGACTATTCTGTATTGCCAAGTCCTTTATCAGCTGCTGATGGTTGTGGGCCAAATGTACAATGATTATGAGAGCTGAGCAGTTAGATTTTTAAAGTTTTGGAAGTACTTGTGATTTATAGAACATTTATTAATCTCATGTTATTTTCAGCAATAAGAAAAACACCGTGAGAGATGCTCAAGTTCTATTTCAAGATTGGAAATGCAAGGAAGAAAAGAAATAGAATCATGGTAAGCATGCAGTTCTTATTATTGTGTATATAAAGGTTTGAATTGGGAATATTTTGTAATATGATTATTAACTATTGGTGCAAATGTTAGATCCACTGAAAAATGTACTTGAAATAAATGATGGGACTCGAATTTCACAGTTGCTGTTCCACTGGTTTACCATCATTGACTTTTGAGGTTTTTGTTAAGCCTGCATTGATAGACTTTGCATTTTAAACAGATTCACCATAGCATGGTGATGGAAGATCCAGAATGAGTTTTTCAGTTTTAAGTGCAAGGTATGTATTATGAATGAAGTATCATGGTATTATATTAGTTGAGCTATGATGAGTAAAATGTTGTAAAGGCAGTTCCATGTGTAGTGATAAAGTGACAAGGCAGCACAAGCTCACACTAGGGGTCAGAGTGAGGCTGATGCCCCTGGGAAGGTCTGAGAGAAGGGACATGAGAAGGTCTAGCAGGTCAACCTCTGAGAAGAGGGGCAGAACACCAGACATCCTTTTGGACCCTTGTTGTTTACAGTGTCAAGGACACCTATTTATTATGTGAGTAATGTGTAGGTGGAGGTGCGTGAACATCATTGGTTGGAAAGGCACTGTGTCCAGCTTAATTTAGTGTGATGTGTGAGGTGACAGTTGTCATAACTCAATTCAGACTATTCTGTATTGCCAAGTCCTTTATCAGCTGCTGATGGTTGTGGGCCAAATGTACAATGATTATGAGAGCTGAGCAGTTAGATTATTATGTGATGGAAGTACTTTTGTTTATAGGACATTCATTAATCCTCCTCTGTCTCTGCCTCCCTCCCTCCTTCCAGCAATAGGAAAAGCACTGAGAGGGATGCTCACCTATTTCAAGACCCAAAATGCAAGGAATTGATACAAATGGTAAGTATGTAGGTCTTAATGTCATGTTACATAAAGGTTTTTAATGGCTAATTGTAACAAGATTATTAAGTGTGGGTGTAGATATTGGATCTGTTGAAAAATATATTTGGAACAAATGAGACTAGGTATTTTCACTTGTAGAATTTCATTTACTGTCACTGATTTTTCAGACATTGTATTTTGGTTGCATTTATGGATTTTCCCTTTTTAAACAGATGACCATATGCTGCTAGAAAATGCAGAATGATTATTCTAGCTTGAAGTGCAAGGTATGTATTATGAATGAAGTATCATGTTATAGTAATTTGAGCTATGATGAGTAAAATGTTGTAAAGGCAGTGCCATGTAGTGATAAAGTGACAAGGCAGCACAAGCTCACACTAGGGGTCAGAGTGAGGCTGATGCCATTTGCCCCTGGGAAGGTCTGAGAGAAGGGACATGAGAAGGTCTAGCAGGTCAACCTCTGAGAAGAGGGGCAGAACCAGACATCCTTTTGGATCCTTGTTGTTTACAGTGTCAAGGACACCTATATATTATGTGAGTAATGTGTAGGTGGAGATGCGTGAACATCATTGGTTGGAAAGGCACTGTGTCCAGCTTAATTTAGTGTGATGTGTGAGGTGACAGTTGTCATAACTCAATTCAGACTATTCTGTATTGCCAAGTCCTTTATCAGCTGCTGATGGTTGTTGGCCAAATGTACAATGATTATGAGAGCTGAGCAGTTAGATTTTTAAAGTTTTGGAAGTACTTGTGATTTATAGAACATTTATTAATCTCATGTTATTTTCAGCAATAAGAAAAACACCGTGAGAGATGCTCAAGTTCTATTTCAAGATTGGAAATGCAAGGAAGAAAAGAAATAGAATCATGGTAAGCATGCAGTTCTTATTATTGTGTATATAAAGGTTTGAATTGGGAATATTTTGTAATATGATTATTAACTATTGGTGCAAATGTTAGATCCACTGAAAAATGTACTTGAAATAAATGATGGGACTCGAATTTCACAGTTGCTGTTCCACTGGTTTACCATCATTGACTTTTGAGGTTTTTGTTAAGCCTGCATTGATAGACTTTGCATTTTAAACAGATTCACCATAGCATGGTGATGGAAGATCCAGAATGAGTTTTTCAGTTTTAAGTGCAAGGTATGTATTATGAATGAAGTATCATGGTATTATATTAGTTGAGCTATGATGAGTAAAATGTTGTAAAGGCAGTTCCATGTGTAGTGATAAAGTGACAAGGCAGCACAAGCTCACACTAGGGGTCAGAGTGAGGCTGATGCCCCTGGGAAGGTCTGAGAGAAGGGACATGAGAAGGTCTAGCAGGTCAACCTCTGAGAAGAGGGGCAGAACACCAGACATCCTTTTGGATCCTTGTTGTTTACAGTGTCAAGGACACCTATTTATTATGTGAGTAATGTGTAGGTGGAGGTGCGTGAACATCATTGGTTGGAAAGGCACTGTGTCCAGCTTAATTTAGTGTGATGTGTGAGGTGACAGTTGTCATAACTCAATTCAGACTATTCTGTATTGCCAAGTCCTTTATCAGCTGCTGATGGTTGTGGGCCAAATGTACAATGATTATGAGAGCTGAGCAGTTAGATTATTATGTGATGGAAGTACTTTTGTTTTATAGGACATTCATTAATCCTCCTCTGTCTCTGCCTCCCTCCTCCTTCCAGCAATAGGAAAAGCACTGAGAGGGATGCTCACCTATTTCAAGACCCAAAATGCAAGGAATTGATACAAATGGTAAGTATGTAGGTCTTAATGTCATGTTACATAAAGGTTTTTAATGGCTAATTGTAACAAGATTATTAAGTGTGGGTGTAGATATTGGATCTGTTGAAAAATATTTGAACATGAGACTAGGTATTTTCACTTGTAGAATTTCATTTACTGTCACTGATTTTTCAGACATTGTATTTTTGGTTGCATTTATGGATTTTCCCTTTTTAAACAGATGACCATATGCTGCTAGAAATGCAGAATGATTATTCTAGCTTGAAGTGCAAGGTATGTATTATGAATGAAGTATCATGTTATAGTAATTTGAGCTATGATGAGTAAAATGTTGTAAAGGCAGTGCCATGTAGTGATAAAGTGACAAGGCAGCACAAGCTCACACTAGGGGTCAGAGTGAGGCTGATGCCACATTTGCCCCTGGGAAGGTCTGAGAGAAGGGACATGAGAAGGTCTAGCAGGTCAACCTCTGAGAAGAGGGGCAGAACACCAGACATCCTTTTGGATCCTTGTTGTTTACAGTGTCAAGGACACCTATATATTATGTGAGTAATGTGTAGGTGGAGATGCGTGAACATCATTGGTTGGAAAGGCACTGTGTCCAGCTTAATTTAGTGTGATGTGTGAGGTGACAGTTGTCATAACTCAATTCAGACTATTCTGTATTGCCAAGTCCTTTATCAGCTGCTGATGGTTGTTGGCCAAATGTACAATGATTATGAGAGCTGAGCAGTTAGATTTTTAAAGTTTTGGAAGTACTTGTGATTTATAGAACATTTATTAATCTCATGTTATTTTCAGCAATAAGAAAAACACGTGAGAGATGCTCAAGTTCTATTTCAAGATTGGAAATGCAAGGAAGAAAAGAAATAGAATCATGGTAAGCATGCAGTTCTTATTATTGTGTATATAAAGGTTTGAATTGGAATATTTTGTAATATGATTATTAACTATTGGTGCAAATGTTAGATCCACTGAAAAATGTACTTGAAATAAATGATGGGACTCGAATTTCACAGTTGCTGTTCCACTGGTTTACCATCATTGACTTTTGAGGTTTTTGTTAAGCCTGCATTGATAGACTTTGCATTTTAAACAGATTCACCATAGCATGGTGATGGAAGATCCAGAATGAGTTTTTCAGTTTTAAGTGCAAGGTATGTATTATGAATGAAGTATCATGGTATTATATTAGTTGAGCTATGATGAGTAAAATGTTGTAAAGGCAGTTCCATGTGTAGTGATAAAGTGACAAGGCAGCACAAGCTCACACTAGGGGTCAGAGTGAGGCTGATGCCCCTGGGAAGGTCTGAGAGAAGGGACATGAGAAGGTCTAGCAGGTCAACCTCTGAGAAGAGGGGCAGAACACCAGACATCCTTTTGGATCCTTGTTGTTTACAGTGTCAAGGACACCTATTTATTATGTGAGTAATGTGTAGGTGGAGGTGCGTGAACATCATTGGTTGGAAAGGCACTGTGTCCAGCTTAATTTAGTGTGATGTGTGAGGTGACAGTTGTCATAACTCAATTCAGACTATTCTGTATTGCCAAGTCCTTTATCAGCTGCTGATGGTTGTGGGCCAAATGTACAATGATTATGAGAGCTGAGCAGTTAGATTATTATGTGATGGAAGTACTTTTGTTTTATAGGACATTCATTAATCCTCCTCTGTCTCTGCCTCCCTCCCTCCTTCCAGCAATAGGAAAAGCACTGAGAGGGATGCTCACCTATTTCAAGACCCAAAATGCAAGGAATTGATACAAATGGTAAGTATGTAGGTCTTAATGTCATGTTACATAAAGGTTTTTAATGGCTAATTGTAACAAGATTATTAAGTGTGGGTGTAGATATTGGATCTGTTGAAAAATATATTTGGAACAAATGAGACTAGGTATTTTCACTTGTAGAATTTCATTTACTGTCACTGATTTTTCAGACATTGTATTTTTGGTTGCATTTATGGATTTTCCCTTTTTAAACAGATGACCATATGCTGCTAGAAAATGCAGAATGATTATTCTAGCTTGAAGTGCAAGGTATGTATTATGAATGAAGTATCATGTTATAGTAATTTGAGCTATGATGAGTAAAATGTTGTAAAGGCAGTGCCATGTAGTGATAAAGTGACAAGGCAGCACAAGCTCACACTAGGGGTCAGAGTGAGGCTGATGCCACATTTGCCCCTGGGAAGGTCTGAGAGAAGGGACATGAGAAGGTCTAGCAGGTCAACCTCTGAGAAGAGGGGCAGAACACCAGACATCCTTTTGGATCCTTGTTGTTTACAGTGTCAAGGACACCTATATATTATGTGAGTAATGTGTAGGTGGAGATGCGTGAACATCATTGGTTGGAAAGGCACTGTGTCCAGCTTAATTTAGTGTGATGTGTGAGGTGACAGTTGTCATAACTCAATTCAGACTATTCTGTATTGCCAAGTCCTTTATCAGCTGCTGATGGTTGTTGGCCAAATGTACAATGATTATGAGAGCTGAGCAGTTAGATTTTTAAAGTTTTGGAAGTACTTGTGATTTATAGAACATTTATTAATCTCATGTTATTTTCAGCAATAAGAAAAACACCGTGAGAGATGCTCAAGTTCTATTTCAAGATTGGAAATGCAAGGAAGAAAAGAAATAGAATCATGGTAAGCATGCAGTTCTTATTATTGTGTATATAAAGGTTTGAATTGGGAATATTTTGTAATATGATTATTAACTATTGGTGCAAATGTTAGATCCACTGAAAAATGTACTTGAAATAAATGATGGGACTCGAATTTCACAGTTGCTGTTCCACTGGTTTACCATCATTGACTTTTGAGGTTTTTGTTAAGCCTGCATTGATAGACTTTGCATTTAAACAGATTCACCATAGCATGGTGATGGAAGATCCAGAATGAGTTTTTCAGTTTTAAGTGCAAGGTATGTATTATGAATGAAGTATCATGGTATTATATTAGTTGAGCTATGATGAGTAAAATGTTGTAAAGGCAGTTCCATGTGTAGTGATAAAGTGACAAGGCAGCACAAGCTCACACTAGGGGTCAGAGTGAGGCTGATGCCCCTGGGAAGGTCTGAGAGAAGGGACATGAGAAGGTCTAGCAGGTCAACCTCTGAGAAGAGGGCAGAACACCAGACATCCTTTTGGATCCTTGTTGTTTACAGTGTCAAGGACACCTATTTATTATGTGAGTAATGTGTAGGTGGAGGTGCGTGAACATCATTGGTTGGAAAGGCACTGTGTCCAGCTTAATTTAGTGTGATGTGTGAGGTGACAGTTGTCATAACTCAATTCAGACTATTCTGTATTGCCAAGTCCTTTATCAGCTGCTGATGGTTGTGGGCCAAATGTACAATGATTATGAGAGCTGAGCAGTTAGATTATTATGTGATGGAAGTACTTTTGTTTTATAGGACATTCATTAATCCTCCTCTGTCTCTGCCTCCCTCCCTCCTTCCAGCAATAGGAAAAGCACTGAGAGGGATGCTCACCTATTTCAAGACCCAAAATGCAAGGAATTGATACAAATGGTAAGTATGTAGGTCTTAATGTCATGTTACATAAAGGTTTTTAATGGCTAATTGTAACAAGATTATTAAGTGTGGGTGTAGATATTGGATCTGTTGAAAAATATATTTGGAACAAATGAGACTAGGTATTTTCACTTGTAGAATTTCATTTACTGTCACTGATTTTTCAGACATTGTATTTTTGGTTGCATTTATGGATTTTCCCTTTTAAAACAGATGACCATATGCTGCTAGAAAATGCAGAATGATTATTCTAGCTTGAAGTGCAAGGTATGTATTATGAATGAAGTATCATGTTATAGTAATTTGAGCTATGATGAGTAAAATGTTGTAAAGGCAGTGCCATGTAGTGATAAAGTGACAAGGCAGCACAAGCTCACACTAGGGGTCAGAGTGAGGCTGATGCCACATTTGCCCCTGGGAAGGTCTGAGAGAAGGGACATGAGAAGGTCTAGCAGGTCAACCTCTGAGAAGAGGGCAGAACACCAGACATCCTTTTGGATCCTTGTTGTTTACAGTGTCAAGGACACCTATATATTATGTGAGTAATGTGTAGGTGGAGATGCGTGAACATCATTGGTTGGAAAGGCACTGTGTCCAGCTTAATTTAGTGTGATGTGTGAGGTGACAGTTGTCATAACTCAATTCAGACTATTCTGTATTGCCAAGTCCTTTATCAGCTGCTGATGGTTGTGGGCCAAATGTACAATGATTATGAGAGCTGAGCAGTTAGATTTTTAAAGTTTTGGAAGTACTTGTGATTTATAGAACATTTATTAATCTCATGTTATTTTCAGCAATAAGAAAAACACCGTGAGAGATGCTCAAGTTCTATTTCAAGATTGGAAATGCAAGGAAGAAAAGAAATAGAATCATGGTAAGCATGCAGTTCTTATTATTGTGTATATAAAGGTTTGAATTGGGAATATTTTGTAATATGATTATTAACTATTGGTGCAATGTTAGATCCACTGAAAAATGTACTTGAAATAAATGATGGGACTCGAATTTCACAGTTGCTGTTCCACTGGTTTACCATCATTGACTTTTGAGGTTTTTGTTAAGCCTGCATTGATAGACTTTGCATTTTAAACAGATTCACCATAGCATGGTGATGGAAGATCCAGAATGAGTTTTTCAGTTTTAAGTGCAAGGTATGTATTATGAATGAAGTATCATGGTATTATATTAGTTGAGCTATGATGAGTAAAATGTTGTAAAGGCAGTTCCATGTGTAGTGATAAAGTGACAAGGCAGCACAAGCTCACACTAGGGGTCAGAGTGAGGCTGATGCCCCTGGGAAGGTCTGAGAGAAGGGACATGAGAAGGTCTAGCAGGTCAACCTCTGAGAAGAGGGGCAGAACACCAGACATCCTTTTGGATCCTTGTTGTTTACAGTGTCAAGGACACCTATTTATTATGTGAGTAATGTGTAGGTGGAGGTGCGTGAACATCATTGGTTGGAAAGGCACTGTGTCCAGCTTAATTTAGTGTGATGTGTGAGGTGACAGTTGTCATAACTCAATTCAGACTATTCTGTATTGCCAAGTCCTTTATCAGCTGCTGATGGTTGTGGGCCAAATGTACAATGATTATGAGAGCTGAGCAGTTAGATTATTATGTGATGGAAGTACTTTTGTTTTATAGGACATTCATTAATCCTCCTCTGTCTCTGCCTCCCTCCCTCCTTCCAGCAATAGGAAAAGCACTGAGAGGATGCTCACCTATTTCAAGACCCAAAATGCAAGGAATTGATACAAATGGTAAGTATGTAGGTCTTAATGTCATGTTACATAAAGGTTTTAATGGCTAATTGTAACAAGATTATTAAGTGTGGGTGTAGATATTGGATCTGTTGAAAAATATATTGGAACAAATGAGACTAGGTATTTTCACTTGTAGAATTTCATTTACTGTCACTGATTTTTCAGACATTGTATTTTTGGTTGCATTTATGGATTTTCCCTTTTAAACAGATGACCATATGCTGCTAGAAAATGCAGAATGATTATTCTAGCTTGAAGTGCAAGGTATGTATTATGAATGAAGTATCATGTTATAGTAATTTGAGCTATGATGAGTAAAATGTTGTAAAGGCAGTGCCATGTAGTGATAAAGTGACAAGGCAGCACAAGCTCACACTAGGGGTCAGAGTGAGGCTGATGCCACATTTGCCCCTGGGAAGGTCTGAGAGAAGGGACATGAGAAGGTCTAGCAGGTCAACCTCTGAGAAGAGGGGCAGAACACCAGACATCCTTTTGGATCCTTGTTGTTTACAGTGTCAAGGACACCTATATATTATGTGAGTAATGTGTAGGTGGAGATGCGTGAACATCATTGGTTGGAAAGGCACTGTGTCCAGCTTAATTTAGTGTGATGTGTGAGGTGACAGTTGTCATAACTCAATTCAGACTATTCTGTATTGCCAAGTCCTTTATCAGCTGCTGATGGTTGTTGGCCAAATGTACAATGATTATGAGAGCTGAGCAGTTAGATTTTTAAAGGGAAGTACTTGTGATTTATAGAATTTATTAATCTCATGTTATTTCAGCAATAAGAAAAACACGTGAGAGATGCTCAAGTTCTATTTCAAGATTGGAAAATGCAAGGAAGAAAAGAAATAGAATCATGGTAAGCATGCAGTTCTTATTATTGTGTATATAAAGGTTTGAATTGGGAATATTTTGTAATATGATTATTAACTATTGGTGCAAATGTTAGATCCACTGAAAAATGTACTTGAAATAAATGATGGGACTCGAATTTCACAGTTGCTGTTCCACTGGTTTACCATCATTGACTTTTGAGGTTTTTGTTAAGCCTGCATTGATAGACTTTGCATTTTAAACAGATTCACCATAGCATGGTGATGGAAGATCCAGAATGAGTTTTTCAGTTTTAAGTGCAAGGTATGTATTATGAATGAAGTATCATGGTATATATTAGTTGAGCTATGATGAGTAAAATGTTGTAAAGGCAGTTCCATGTGTAGTGATAAAGTGACAAGGCAGCACAAGCTCACACTAGGGGTCAGAGTGAGGCTGATGCCACATTTGCCCCTGGGAAGGTCTGAGAGAAGGGACATGAGAAGGTCTAGCAGGTCAACCTCTGAGAAGAGGGGCAGAACACCAGACATCCTTTTGGACCCTTGTTGTTTACTGTGTCAAGGACACCTATTTATTATGTGAGTAATGTGTAGGTGGAGGTGCGTGAACATCATTGGTTGGAAAGGCACTGTGTCCAGCTTAATTTAGTGTGATGTGTGAGGTGACAGTTGTCATAACTCAATTCAGACTATTCTGTATTGCCAAGTCCTTTATCAGCTGCTGATGGTTGTGGCCAAATGTACAATGATTATGAGAGCTGAGCAGTTAGATTTTTAAAGTTTTGGAAGTACTTGTGATTTATAGAACATTTATTAATCTCATGTTATTTTCAGCAATAAGAAAACAGTGAGAGATGCTCAAGTTCTATTTCAAGATTGAAAATGCAAGGAAGAAAAGAAATAGAATCATGGTAAGCATGCAGTTCTTATTATTGTGTATATAAAGGTTTGAATTGGGAATATTTTGTAATATGATTATTAACTATTGGTGCAAATGTTAGATCCACTGAAAAATGTACTTGAAATAAATGATGGGACTCGAATTTCACAGTTGCTGTTCCACTGGTTTACCATCATTGACTTTTGAGGTTTTTGTTAAGCCTGCATTGATAGACTTTGCATTTTAAACAGATTCACCATAGCATGGTGATGGAAGATCCAGAATGAGTTTTTCAGTTTTAAGTGCAAGGTATATTATGAATGAAGTATCATGGTATTATATTAGTTGAGCTATGATGAGTAAAATGTTGTAAAGGCAGTTCCATGTGTAGTGATAAAGTGACAAGGCAGCACAAGCTCACACTAGGGGTCAGAGTGAGGCTGATGCCACATTTGCCCCTGGGAAGGTCTGAGAGAAGGGACATGAGAAGGTCTAGCAGGTCAACCTCTGAGAAGAGGGCAGAACACCAGACATCCTTTTGGATCCTTGTTGTTTACTGTGTCAAGGACACCTATTTATTATGTGAGTAATGTGTAGGTGGAGGTGCGTGAAACATCATTGGTTGGAAAGGCACTGTGTCCAGCTTAATTTAGTGTGATGTGTGAGGTGACAGTTGTCATAACTCAATTCAGACTATTCTGTATTGCCAAGTCCTTTATCAGCTGCTGATGGTTGTGGCCAAATGTACAATGATTATGAGAGCTGAGCAGTTAGATTTTTAAAGTTTGGAAGTACTTGTGATTTATAGAACATTTATTAATCTCATGTTATTTTCAGCAATAAGAAAAACAGTGAGAGATGCTCAAGTTCTATTTCAAGATTGAAAATGCAAGGAAGAAAAGAAATAGAATCATGGTAAGCATGCAGTTCTTATTATTGTGTATATAAAGGTTTGAATTGGAATATTTTAATATGATTATTAACTATTGGTGCAAATGTTAGATCCACTGAAAATGTACTTGAAATAAATGATGGACTCGAATTTCACAGTTGCTGTTCCACTGGTTTACCATCATTGACTTTTGAGGTTTTTGTTAAGCCTGCATTGATAGACTTTGCATTTTAAACAGATTCACCATAGCATGGTGATGGAAGATCCAGAATGAGTTTTCAGTTTTAAGTGCAAGGTATGTATTATGAATGAAGTATCATGTATATATTAGTTGAGCTATGATGAGTAAAATGTTGTAAAGGCAGTTCCATGTGTAGTGATAAAGTGACAAGGCAGCACAAGCTCACACTAGGGGTCAGAGTGAGGCTGATGCCACATTTGCCCCTGGAAGGTCTGAGAGAAGGACATGAGAAGGTCTAGCAGGTCAACCTCTGAGAAGAGGGCAGAACACCAGACATCCTTTTGGATCCTTGTTGTTTACTGTGTCAAGGACACCTATTTATTATGAGTAATGTGTAGGTGGAGGTGCGTGAACATCATTGGTTGGAAAGGCACTGTGTCCAGCTTAATTTAGTGTGATGTGTGAGGTGACAGTTGTCATAACTCAATTCAGACTATTCTGTATTGCCAAGTCCTTTATCAGCTGCTGATGGTTGTTGGCCAAATGTACAATGATTATGAGAGCTGAGCAGTTAGATTTTTAAAGTTTTGGAAGTACTTGTGATTTATAGAACATTTATTAATCTCATGTTATTTTCAGCAATAAGAAAAACACCGTGAGAGATGCTCAAGTTCTATTTCAAGATTGAAAATGCAAGGAAGAAAAGAAATAGAATCATGGTAAGCATGCAGTTCTTATTATTGTGTATATAAAGGTTTGAATTGGGAATATTTTGTAATATGATTATTAACTATTGGTGCAAATGTTAGATCCACTGAAAAATGTACTTGAAATAAATGATGGGACTCGAATTTCACAGTTGCTGTTCCACTGGTTTACCATCATTGACTTTTGAGGTTTTTGTTAAGCCTGCATTGATAGACTTTGCATTTTAAACAGATTCACCATAGCATGGTGATGGAAGATCCAGAATGAGTTTTTTCAGTTTTAAGTGCAAGGTATATTATGAATGAAGTATCATGGTTATTATTTAGTTGAGCTATGATGAGTAAAATGTAAAGGCAGTTCCATGTGTAGTGATAAAGTGACAAGGCAGCACAAGCTCACACTAGGGGTCAGAGTGAGGCTGATGCCACATTTGCCCCTGGGAAGGTCTGAGAGAAGGGACATGAGAAGGTCTAGCAGGTCAACCTCTGAGAAGAGGGGCAGAACACCAGACATCCTTTTGGATCCTTGTTGTTTACAGTGTCAAGGACACCTATTTATTATGTGAGTAATGTGTAGGTGGGTGCGTGAACATCATTGGTTGGAAAGGCACTGTGTCCAGCTTAATTTAGTGTGATGTGTGAGGTGACAGTTGTCATAACTCAATTCAGACTATTCTGTATTGCCAAGTCCTTTATCAGCTGCTGATGGTTGTGGCCCAAATGTACAATGATTATGAGAGCTGAGCAGTTAGATTTTTAAAGTTTTGGAAGTACTTGTGATTTATAGAACATTTATTAATCTCATGTTATTTTCAGCAATAAGAAAAACAGTGAGAGATGCTCAAGTTCTATTTCAAGATTGAAAATGCAAGGAAGAAAAGAAATAGAATCATGGTAAGCATGCAGTTCTTATTATTGTGTATATAAAGGTTTGAATTGGGAATATTTTGTAATATGATTATTAACTATTGGTGCAAATGTTAGATCCACTTAAAAAATGTACTTGAAAAAATGATGGGACTCGAATTTCACAGTTGCTGTTCCACTGGTTTACCATCATTGACTTTTGAGGTTTTTGTTAAGCCTGCATTGATAGACTTTGCATTTTAAACAGATTCACCATAGCATGGTGATGGAAGATCCAGAATGAGTTTTTCAGTTTTAAGTGCAAGGTATGTATTATGAATGAAGTATCATGGTATTATATTAGTTGAGCTATGATGAGTAAAATGTTGTAAAGGCAGTTCCATGTGTAGTGATAAAGTGACAAGGCAGCACAAGCTCACACTAGGGGTCAGAGTGAGGCTGATGCCCCTGGGAAGGTCTGAGAGAAGGGACATGAGAAGGTCTAGCAGGTCAACCTCTGAGAAGAGGGCAGAACACCAGACATCCTTTTGGATCCTTGTGTTTACTGTGTCAAGGACACCTATTATTATGTGAGTAATGTGTAGGTGGAGGTGCGTGAACATCATTGGTTGGAAAGGCACTGTGTCCAGCTTAATTTAGTGTGATGTGTGAGGTGACAGTTGTCATAACTCAATTCAGACTATTCTGTATTGCCAAGTCCTTTATCAGCTGCTGATGGTTGTGGGCCAAATGTACAATGATTATGAGAGCTGAGCAGTTAGATTTTTAAAGTTTTGGAAGTACTTGTGATTTATAGAACATTTATTAATCTCATGTTATTTTCAGCAATAAGAAAAACACAGTGAGAGATGCTCAAGTTCTATTTCAAGATTGAAAATGCAAGGAAGAAAAGAAATAGAATCATGGTAAGCATGCAGTTCTTATTATTGTGTATATAAAGGTTTGAATTGGGAATATTTTGTAATATGATTATTAACTATTGGTGCAAATGTTAGATCCACTGAAAAATGTACTTGAAATAAATGATGGGACTCGAATTTCACAGTTGCTGTTCCACTGGTTTACCATCATTGACTTTTGAGGTTTTTGTTAAGCCTGCATTGATAGACTTTGCATTTTAAACAGATTCACCATAGCATGGTGATGGAAGATCCAGAATGAGTTTTTCAGTTTTAAGTGCAAGGTATGTATTATGAATGAAGTATCATGGTATTATATTGAGCTATGATGAGTAAAATGTTGTAAAGGCAGTTCCATGTGTAGTGATAAAGTGACAAGGCAGCACAAGCTCACACTAGGGGTCAGAGTGAGGCTGATGCCCCTGGGAAGGTCTGAGAGAAGGGACATGAGAAGGTCTAGCAGGTCAACCTCTGAGAAGAGGGGCAGAACACCAGACATCCTTTTGGACCCTTGTTGTTTACTGTGTCAAGGACACCTATTTATTATGTGAGTAATGTGTAGGTGGAGGTGCGTGAACATCATTGGTTGGAAAGGCACTGTGTCCAGCTTAATTTAGTGTGATGTGTGAGGTGACAGTTGTCATAACTCAATTCAGACTATTCTGTATTGCCAAGTCCTTTATCAGCTGCTGATGGTTGTGGGCCAAATGTACAATGATTATGAGAGCTGAGCAGTTAGATTATTATGTGATGGAAGTACTTTTGTTTTATAGGACATTCATTAATCCTCCTCTGTCTCTGCCTCCCTCCCTCCTTCCAGCAATAGGAAAAGCACTGAGAGGGATGCTCACCTATTTCAAGACCCAAAATGCAAGGAATTGATACAAATGGTAAGTATGTAGGTCTTAATGTCATGTTACATAAAGGTTTTTAATGGCTAATTGTAACAAGATTATTAAGTGTGGTGTAGATATTGGATCTGTTGAAAAATATATTTGGAACAAATGAGACTAGTATTTTCACTTGTAGAATTTCATTTTACTGTCACTGATTTTTCAGACATTGTATTTTGGTTGCATTTATGGATTTTCCCTTTTTAAACAGATGACCATATGCTGCTAGAAAATGCAGAATGATTATTCTAGCTTGAAGTGCAAGGTATGTATTATGAATGAAGTATCATGTTATAGTAATTTGAGCTATGATGAGTAAAATGTTGTAAAGGCAGTGCCATGTAGTGATAAAGTGACAAGGCAGCACAAGCTCACACTAGGGTCAGAGTGAGGCTGATGCCACATTTGCCCCTGGGAAGGTCTGAGAGAAGGGACATGAGAAGGTCTAGCAGGTCAACCTCTGAGAAGAGGGGCAGAACACCAGACATCCTTTTGGATCCTTGTTGTACAGTGTCAAGGACACCTATATATTATGTGAGTAATGTGTAGGTGGAGATGCGTGAACATCATTGGTTGGAAAGGCACTGTGTCCAGCTTAATTTAGTGTGATGTGTGAGGACAGTTGTCATAACTCAATTCAGACTATTCTGTATTGCCAAGTCCTTTATCAGCTGCTGATGGTTGTTGGCCAAATGTACAATGATTATGAGAGCTGAGCAGTTAGATTTTTAAAGTTTTGGAAGTACTTGTGATTTATAGAACATTTATTAATCTCATGTTATTTTCAGCAATAGAAAAAAACACCGTGAGAGATGCTCAAGTTCTATTTCAAGATTGGAAATGCAAGGAAGAAAAGAAATAGAATCATGGTAAGCATGCAGTTCTTATTATTATTGTGTATATAAAAGGTTTGAATTGGGAATATTTTGTAATATGATTATTAACTATTGTGCAAATGTTAGATCCACTGAAAAATGTACTTGAAATAAATGATGGGACTCGAATTTCACAGTTGCTGTTCCACTGGTTTACCATCATTGACTTTTGAGGTTTTGTTAAGCCTGCATTGATAGACTTTGCATTTTAAACAGATTCACCATAGCATGGTGATGGAAGATCCAGAATGAGTTTTTCAGTTTTAAGTGCAAGGTATGTATTATGAATGAAGTATCATGGTATTATATTAGTTGAGCTATGATGAGTAAAATGTTGTAAAGGCAGTTCCATGTGTAGTGATAAAGTGACAAGGCAGCACAAGCTCACACTAGGGGTCAGAGTGAGGCTGATGCCCCTGGGAAGGTCTGAGAGAAGGGACATGAGAAGGTCTAGCAGGTCAACCTCTGAGAAGAGGGGCAGAACACCAGACATCCTTTTGGATCCTTGTTGTTTACAGTGTCAAGGACACCTATATTATGTGAGTAATGTGTAGGTGGAGGTGCGTGAACATCATTGGTTGAAGACTGTGTCCAGCTTAATTGTGTGTGTGTGAGGTGACATTGTCATAACTCAATTCAGAACTATTCTGTATTGCCAAGTCCTTTATCAGCTGCTGATGGTTGTGGGCCAAATGTACAATGATTATGAGAGCTGAGCAGTTAGATTATTATGTGATGGAAGTACTTTTGTTTTATAGGACATTCATTAATCCTCCTCTGTCTCTGCCTCCCTCCCTCCTTCCAGCAATAGGAAAAGCACTGAGAGGGATGCTCACCTATATCAAGACCCAAAATGCAAGGAATTGATACAAATGGTAAGTATGTAGGTCTTAATGTCATGTTACATAAAGTTTTTTAATGGCTAATTGTAACAGATTATTAAGTGTGGGTGTAGATATTTGGATCTATTGAAAAATATATTTGGAACAAATGAGACTAGGTATTTTCACGTGTAGAATTTCATTTACTGTCACTGATTTTCAGACATTGTATTTTTGGTTGCATTTATGGATTTTCCCTTTTTAAAACAG